AGCTGGTGAGATTTGAACAGCCGAACTGCAGAACTGCAGTCAGCTGAAGTAGCCTGCAGTGCTGCATTTAACCACTGCGCCACCTCGGCTCTATATATCCCCATTCCCTCCCCACTCCAGGGGAAGGATATTGCAAAATCTACATACCCACCTTACTCTTGGAGCAGCCAGAGGTAGTGTTTGCTGGTTCTCCAAACTATTTAAAATTTCTGCTACCGATTCTCCAGAACCTGCTGAATTTCATCCCTGATCCCAAGGCATAGATTAGTTTCTAAAGCCTGATGGTCTCCAGAGTATCATCTTATAGTCTTACATTCAGAAGGAAGCAGGTTTGAAAAGGCTGGCATGGGATCTGTAGGAGCTGCTCCTACAGTGTACGATGCATGAAAATACATAGCATTATGAATGTAATTCACTGGAGTTGTATAATTTGAATTTGACTTGAGGCCTTATGATCAAATGACTTTTAAGTTACTTTTCTAAGCGTCTAGGCAACTGAAAAAGAATAGATTATGTGGCCTTTTGAAAAGTGAACCTATCCTGGTTAAGATTGTTGCCATATCTAAATGCTGGTCCTTAATGTTCTTTTGATTGGTTTGTTTTACTATGGTTATTTTATTGCTTTAATAAATGATAAAGATGATAATTCATTTGGCAGATGCAAGTAGATGTTACTGTATGAGTCATTGTATGGTTTCTATATTTTCTGCACACTATATTCAAAAGATATCCAGTTCTTGTAAAGAATAAACTCAGGATGTTTTCATTCTTAGGAACGAAACGTGGGTGAATTGTTGCAAAAATATACTTTTCATGACGGTGTCTCAAAATCTGCTTGATTAACATCTGGAGCTGCTGGTGGCATCCATGGAACTTGGGATATAGAGCAGCAGTAAACTTTCCACCTTGTTATGCCAAAAGAAAGAGAATAAATATGTTCCCAGGAAAAATTCTGATTGAAGATGCTGATTACATACAGAGAGTTAACTCTAACTTAGCATCACCATAAACATTTAAAAACCTTTCCATCTTCTATGTGAATGTAACTCAACATGAAAGATGAATAAAGCAATATCACCCTAAGGGCAGCAAGTGTTAGATGTCTTTTATGAGCCTCACAATTGTTGTATAAGCCTTGCCTATTAAGCTTTGCCACAAAAACCTCATCTGCCTATTTCACTTTATGCAAAATTACTGTTGGAGAAGATCTGAATCTGCTTTTCCCACCCTGATATCTCCAAGTGGATTGGGAGAAAAGTAGGCAGAATTCCGTTGCTAGCCAGTATTCTGTATTTTGAAGTCATAAAACACTGGGAGATTCCAAGTTAAGGAAGGCTGGCCTAAATATTTATCCCTATAGTTCTAAGGCCACCAAAGAACCATAAAAAGTTTGGTTCAATAGCTTTCTTTTTCTTTAGGAAATCACCACTGCACAGTCTATTCCAGATTAGACTATTTCCCCTTTATCATTAGGAAATTCTTGCTGCTATCCAACTGAAATTACATCCTTTAATTTTAAACTCATTCTTTCTTGTATCTTCTGATTCAACTACGAACAACTCTCCTTCTGCCTTTTACATGACCACATCCATGTTAAAATGGCTACTATCTCTCCTGGTGATCTTCTCTTCTCTAGGTTAAATGTGTCCAGCACCGGGGTGAAAGTCAACAGGTTCTGACAGGCTCTGGAGAACCGGTAGCGGAAATTTGGAGTAGTTTGGAGAACTGGCAAATATCACTCTAGCTGGCCTCAGAATGGGGTGGGAATGGGGATTTTGCAGTATCCTTCCCCTGCCACATCCAGCAAGTCACGCTCACAGAACCAGTAGTAAAAAAAAAATTGAATTTCACCACTGGTCCAGCACCTCCAACAGTTCATCATACAGTTTTATTGCTTATCAGTTTAGTTGTTGACTTCTGGACATGATCCAGTTTGTCTGTGTCTTCTTAAAGCCTAACCCTTAAACTGTCCACTTTTGACCTCACCCCATTCCTAAGAGGTCAGTAGGGGTGTGCATAAGAGCACCAGGGTGCCTAACGTCCCTGTCCTACTGCCCCATTTATTTGCACCGATTTCCTGTGTTCTTATTCATGTTTATTCTTATTCCTGTTATCTTGTACATGAGTGACAAACTAAATAGATAAATAAAATAAACAATATCAGAACTGGATGTAATGTTGTAGGTGTGTTCAGATCAAGGCAAGGCTTATTTCTCTTTACCTTATTTATTGCATTGCCTTTCATTCAAAGATGCTCTTTCGTTCCATTTTTCTACAGATCCGGAAGTGTGTAGATAGGATGGGCTGAGAGAGCTAATGAAACAGTTGGAAAGACCATAGAGGGGTTGTTAAAACCTCACAATCTTGGGTAGGTGGGTTTTCAAACAATGTTGATATAGTTCATTTTTCCATTATTTCACTTCACTAAAGGTTTTGTCATCTAGAGCAGGAGGTTTTTATCCAGATTGGCCTGGCTTGGAAGTCTCTAATTCATGCAGTTATGTTTCTCGTACTCTGCATTCTTTTGCAGATGCTCTTCACTGGGCCTTTATGTTGCCATTCATGGCTCTAAATACATGTGGGCACTTCCTTAACATTTGAAGGTCTCCTTCTTCCCCATTTTTCTGATCTATTCATTTTGAATAAGTTGTAACTTGTGCCCTTCAAGTCTCGAATGCCAAAATGTAAATTTCAATGTTATTATCGTAATTTTAAAATAAATGATATGCTTGAGAAGGAGGAGCCACGTCACGATGTCACAACATGTGGTCTCGATACTCTGAGACCACTGTCGACATTTTTGCCGCTAGATGGTCCATTGAGACCTAAACCGTCCCGTAGAGATGGTGATCAGGAAGATGAAGCCTTGCTGGTCTCAGGGACATCGCAAAGTCCCTGATTGACCCAAGGGAAGTGCTTCAAGCTGACGGTAAACAGGCAGCCCCCAGGCTGATGAAATCGGGACGCTCCAGAAGGAAGGAAGTGAAAAGGGAAAGTGAGTCCATCTGGTGAGGTATTTTTTCTATTTTGCTAAAGACTGCCCAAAGAAATTTTTTTAAAAGCCAAATTAGATCCTTAAGCAAAAGAATTGAGTAGCGAAACTAACCCTAATTGGATTGCTGTGGAAAGCTTTTTTTTTCTTTGTAACTATTCTTTGTGGATTGAAGTGCTCGCAACATTTCTCATTTTTCCTTTTCACTTCCTTCCTTCTGGAGCGTCCAGATTTCATCAGCCTGGGGGCTGCCTGTTTACCGCCAGCTTGAAGCACTTCCCCTGGGTCTATCAGGGACTTTGCGGTGTCCCTGAGACCAGCAAGGCTTCATCTTCCTGATCACCATCTCTACGGAATGGTTTAGGTCTCAATGGACTGTCCAATGGCAAAAGTGTCAATGGCAGTCTCAGAGTATCGAGACCGCACGTTGTGACATCACGATGTTGACCCCTCCTCACATTTTCACTTTTTAATAACCAGGCATGTGATATAATTAGTCTATTTTTTTCTGGTAATACAATAGGCCTCTGTTTTCCACCTTTTCCTGCCCAGCTCTTTACTGTCCTATGTCTCTAAATAGCTTATAACTTAAATTAGTTATTTAACACAGAGACTGCAAATCTGAGTGTTCAAGAGTCTGATTGTCTGCAAATCCCCAGCAAGCTCCCGGAAATGAATAAATGAACAACATAATTAGTTTTTTTTAATAAAGAGGGAATGGTGTGTCCTGGCTTCATTTTTTAATATCTCTTTTTATATTCATAGATCCTACAGGGCCTTGTTGACGTTCGGATCCCAC